TCTTAAATACATTATCCCAGAGGTGCTACTGTTGTTCCTAGTGAGCTCGGCCTTGGCCAGCAGCGGGTCCGTCTTGGAGCTGGCTGGCCTTGGCTCCATCAGACATAGGAGAAGCCTCTAGCAGCTTCTTACAGAAGGCACCCCTGTACCCCCCCCCAAATACCAGAACATTGCCATGCAAACCAAATACAATTTAAAAAAAAAAAATTATGGGATTATAAAACTCAGGCAATAGCTTACAATATTGTTGATAAAACTTTGTAAATGAGTATCTTTTGAGTACAGAAATATTTCACCTTCATGTAGTCATAGTTCAGGTTTTGATCAAAAAAAATCTCAGTAATCTATTTTGAACTTGGATGTGTTTTACCTTACAGAAAGAATAAACGAGAGGCACCCATATTTCCAGTTTCCTCATGCACAGTAATGGTATTTTTGCTTTCTGCAGGGCAAGGCCAGAAAACCATGCAGTCATCAGGGCACAGATTCCGTGATGTTGAGCACCACCCACTTCTTGCTGAAAATGACAACTATGATTCCTCTTCCTCGGAGGCCGACATGGCGGAGAGGGTTTGGTTCATCCGAGATGGCTGTGGTATGGTCTGTGCTATAATGACATGGCTTCTGGTTGTCTATGCAGACTTCGTAGTGACTTTTGTCATGTTGCTGCCTTCCAAAGACTTTTGGTACTCTGTGATCAACGGTGTTCTCTTTAACTGCTTGGCAGTACTAGCTTTGTCATCACATCTGAGAACTATGCTAACTGATCCAGTAAGTATGCGATCGTTCCTTGACCTTGGATTGTTCTATCCTGTAGCTCATTGTCTGCAGAGACATTTGGAGAAGTGGTGTCAGTCTTCTGCTAGGAAAAGTAGTGTTAGACTCAAAACCCTCAAGGTGAAGGGATGATACCTGTACTTTTCCTTTTGTTCTGTTAATGAAACCGTAAATAATTTTTTGACTTGAGAGACAGGCAGTATAAAATTAATTTATAAGGGAGAGGTAGGCTCATAAGAAATACAGTTCATTTGTAAAATGTTAACCCAGGTTCTGAAGAAGCTAGCAGAGCTTTAGTCTTTTCTGTCCTAATTTTTCTTACTTTTTTTCATCAGATGTATTTTCAAAACTTCATAAGAAGTTGTAGCTTCATCCTGCTATATCATTTGAAATGTATCTTCCATTTATGGCACATGAAAGAACTTTTAGAGGTAGACATGCTGAAAAACCTGTCACATATTGGCATAAAGTAAGAACTGTTGTCATACATGATTCATGCTTTATTGTGTTTAGGTATTTGGAGTCGGTGGGAAGGAAGATTTAAGTTGAACCCACAATGGAAG